CCTTCCGGCCCCCGCAGCCACCAGCGACTGACACGAACGTCAGTCCCGTTGCCATTTTCCACTCAGCGCTTTCACAGACCCTCCCAGGCTGAAGTAAGCTTGTTATTAACTCAGCAGTATGCTTTTATGGGTTTGGGGGTTTTTTTATTCTTTCCTTGTCACGTCGTCGGTTCTCTGAATTTCCCCTGTCACGTAATCCTCTGGAGGTGGGGGGTTGGACTAGATGACCCACAGAGGTCCCTTCCAACCCCAAACATTCTGTGATTCTGTGGTTCACCCTCTGTTCTACAGCTTAAGTTAGACCTTCAGTTTGGAAAACAAATTTCAGTTTATTGACATTTTTCGTTTTAGGTTGGTTTCTTTAGAGCCTCTGATTTTTCAGTCATGTGCTTTATTTAATTCCCTCTTCCCTCCCGTTTCTTCTCATAAATTTTTAGCACCCATGCTGCTAGTGCTGGGGGGAGTATTTTGCCCCTGGAGAATGCTTGTCTTGTGCTGTGGTCGCTTGCGAGTATCACTGTTGCTTTTTTTTACTTGAAGTTACATATTGGTGGACTTATTTCCTCTCTAGAAAGAATTGAGTTCTGACATTGCTCTTCTATATTTCGTCCCGTCAGATGGTTTGGCAGCCCGGCTGTAGGCACCCCCTGTTTCCCAAGAAGCTGCTGCTCCTTTTGGGCCTCTCCATCACGCACCGAGGGGCTCGGCTCAATGCCATCGTGGCCGAGGGCTCCTGTGAGGGTTGGTGGCCTTTGTGCCACCTTCGGCGTACTCGTGGTGTGGTTCCACCAGCGCGGGGGGTTCCTGCAGCCCGATGCTTGCCACCACAAGTTCTGCTCTGCGTGTAGGCATGCACACAGGGGCTCCCTGCAATTTTCCCAAGCAGCGTCTTGCATAAAATTCCACCTCTGGCTTCCTCTGCTCCTTTAGTTCGGTTTGTCCAAGTCATCCTGTCCTACCTCTCTGCAGTGTGTGTTGCCCCGGGGACCACATCCTCACCTATTCACGCACTTAAAGCTTTCGTGTGTGGACAGATGGACGCCCTCAGTTGATGGGCTGTGACCTCCCCATTCAGCAGTTACGGGGTCGTGTTTGGAACAGACGCTGGGATTTTTCCCAGCCCTGGCTTTCGCTTCCAGATAGCCCTTCCGAAGGAGCTGCTGGCTGCTGGAGCGCGTTGTGCACGTTCAGGCCTGCAGGATGCAAACATCGCAGGTAAGTCTCCAGTTTGTAGCAAACTTTGTACTTTAATAATAGGTACTTGCAACAAGAGCGAACATTCCTCTGTTTGGAGAATGGACTCAAAATCTTCAAAATCCCCATACTACTGTGTGAATTTAAAGTGGCTTTTAGCTTTGCATTCCATGTGTTTGCAGTAAACATGCTTGTAGCTGCCTTCACCAGTATGGTACGTATTTATTTCTGCCATTATTCCGTAACTCCAGTTTTAGCGCACGGATACTTCAGCTGTTGGCTGGGAACACCTGGCGGTCTGCAGGCTCCTGTCACAGCCTGGGATCAGCAGCAAAGGCAGCAAGTGCTGTCAGCAAGAATCTCCCCCTTCCCTAGAAAATATGTGGCGTCAACAAGTCCCAGCGTGGTTGGAAACCATGGTTTCTGTGAGTCCTTGACTCACACAATTTATTCTGGAAGTTCTTTGCACCAGTGGCCTGGAAGAATGGCTCTCGTGAGGAAACTTCTGATGTATTTGAAGTATTGTGAAATCTTTCTTAACTTGGCTGTTGCCAACATTAAATACTTGTAACTGGTTTGCTTTGTTTTGGGGTGTTTTTTCTGATACTGTTTGGGAGAAGGAGTGTTAAATTTAGATTCATGTCAGGAGAATGCAGGCACATAAGCAAGAGCTGCTGACCTCAAGGTAGAAAGGTGAGACAATAAAATTTCACAAGCTTTGATGGTATTGGGGGGAACAAAGCTTGTCACATTGCTGTTTAGGTTTTTCCCAAATGTGCTCTGTCGCTTCCTTCAAGGTGTGTGGGTTTTTAATGTCTCTGGATGTGCGTGGCCAGCTATAGTTACTATTTTCGTGGGTGGACAGAGAAAATAACTTCTTTATCCTTGCCTTGCGTTCTGCTGGATTCCTACCAGTCTAAGTTCATGCTCATACATGGAGGTCTGGCACAGGTGTGTTGGAATCAGTGGCATAGCTTTGACTGCTGTGTGTGACCTACCACGCACCTTAAGGGAAAAGGATCTTTTGCTCTGAGCAGCACACATGTTTTCGTATTCCATATATTCTGTTCTGTCTTCCAAAGGATCGCTGCTGTACTGTGTCTGGGAACATCCGGCCCACACAGGGATGCGCCGCTATCCTGGCAGTGCTTCCAGCTGTGCAGGAGTTGCTCAGAACAGACTGAACGACCTGATAAAGGAAGCCCGCGAGCGAGCCGGCGGCAAGAGCCCGGACCTGACCCCTTCCCCTGGCTGCTGGCTTGCAGCAGCGGGGACACGGGCTGGTGTCACACCATCGGACTGGCGATGCTGGGGGCATGCTTGGCCCCGGGTGTCCGTTTGGCTGCAGGAGGTGCGCACACACCAGGGAGCCCCCCAGACCCGGTGCCCCTCGCAAAGGGAGGGTTGGGGGAAGGGCGTGCTGGAACCCAGGGCATGGACCCGGCCTCCAGCCCAGAGGTGCCCTACACAGCCAGAGGCGCTGCCTGGGAGTCCTCGCCTTGGGGGTGCTCAGAAGAGCAGCCGAGCTCCAGCTCCTTTGACACTTGCTTTTTTGTCTAAAGGCCAGGTCAGGAAGGCTGTGAATGAAGCTGTTTTGCAGTAAAGCCCCACAACTTTTGCCTCATCCCCCACGCCTCCAAAAAGCTGGCTTTTCCCAGGACAGCCATTCCTAGGAGAATCCAGCTTCCCAGGGTGAAGCATTAGTGCCATTACCCATGTTATTACAGTGCCTGGGAATATCCCGTCCTGAAAGGCTGGGCCCTGCTCCGCGGAATGGCCTGCAAAGGAGTTTTGAAGCTGTCTGCCCTTTCCAAGTAAAGGCGGCAGGTTGTGCCATACCTCCAGCTTTCAAGTGTGGGCTCAGAGGGAAGGTTCTTTGATTTGGCTGAAGCTCGATGGTTCAGAGGCCCAAACTTGGCCATTAACAGTAGCTGAAACACCTCCTCTGTAAGGAGTTCTACAACTCTCACAAGCTTTTCCTCCAAAGAAACAGCAGATAAAAATGGAAAACCATTATGCTAAAGTCTATGAACTCAGAAAACCTAGCGCCCTTTAACCATTTCAGCTGGATTCCCAAGCTAAGCCAGGTAACCAAGGGATCACGTCATCAGTCTGTAACGCCTCGTCCGGCCTAAGCCACCCCGTAACTAGAGGCCAGGGTGAACGTCACACCCAGGCACAAGAGCATCGACACCAAGGGTTACTGCAGCCTGCGGTACCAGATTACAGACCAGAAGTGCAGGCTGGAAGAGTTTCTGCTCTTGAAGGCGGGGGAAAACCCCCCCTCAGCTCCCCCCACAGCTTCCCCTGCTGAAGCTGAGCATTATCCCTACTTTAGCAACAGACAACTTCAACTTCACACAAGCTGTGTTTTAAAAATTTATTCTGTAAACTCCACCCTGGGTCGTTAGTTCTCCTTTTCCTGCACAGTCTTTGTTCCACGCAGCCTGCCCGTACGACGGGCAGCAATGAGACCAACTTTGCGCCCAGCCGGAGCGTCTCTCCTGATGGTCGAAGGCTTCCCGATGTGCTGATGGTTACCACCACCAAAGGGATGTTCTACAGGCTGTGGGAAAGGAAATCAGGTCATCAACATAATTAACAACAGAAATGAGTAATGATGTTTAACAGCAAGAAACTCATTTAAGGGAACAAATAATTTAACCGCCTCATTTTTCGTACCGTGCAGTGACTATCAAGTGCTGCTCACTACCCTACTGAAACGTGCAATGGCAGGGGAGCCTGTGAAGCTTGTTTTCCGGATACACGCCAGGCTCCTCCCCACATCAAACAAATCCTTTCCAACCCATGAAAGAGGCGAGTGAACGCCCTAACTGCCAGCAGACTCACATTCATGGCCACACCACGGACACGCGGCCAGCAGTTTCTCTTCGCCTTGTATTTGTGGTAGGCACGGCCGGCCTTCAGGATGGGCTTGTCAATGCGGCCTCCACCAGCAACAATCCCTGAAAAAAATTACAGGAATGACAACACGCAGATGTAACAGACAGGAGTGCGAAAGAAACAGTTTAAGAACACGACGAATTCCTACTAACGTCCCAAGTCTAAGAATAAGCTCCCAAACACCAGTCTCAAACAACCCTAACTGTCCCTTCAAACCAGTATTTCCAGCCAACACAGGCCGTGAGACCAAGCCCAAGCTACCAGCTATGCAGGAAGTGACCTGCAAGGAGACAGAGACTTCAATTACCGCCTTTCAATCCATACATAGAGGACTGAGCTGAGCACTTTTTCTAAAGCTTTTCCACTTTTATTGCTAGAATTTCGGGAAAAAAAATGAGTTGCGATGGGGGCGTGGAAGAAGTTTTGTTACTGTTACAGCTGAAGAAAGTATGAATTGAGAGAGCTCAGTGGACTCCAGGGCCCTCTGAGATTCAATAGCTAGTTGTTTATTTCTTTAGTCAATTTTGTTAGGGTAACAGGCCACAGATAATGAATTTTCATGTCTTCTATTTGGATGCAGGGACATTTGGTAAGGTCTGTCTCATCCAGGCAAGTAAAACTTCTTAAGTCCAACAGTTCTCTCTCTTTCCTTGCACCTTTACCACTTGCCCAGGATGTCAAAAAAGAAGTACAGCTGTCAGTCAAGCGTGTAACAAACCTGATGAGACATCTCCTTCTCAACAACAGTGTTTTTACTCGTTGTCAGACCTTCCCGAATACTCCGCCCAACCGACGACACCTCCAGCGGCCAAGCACCTCCCGCACCACCCCTACACGCTCTATCGAAAGCGGGAAGCCACCAACACCCGTTTCTGCCGAAGTTCTTCCCAGAGGACTGCAGCTTTTACAGGCCGAGCGGTTCCACCACAGCTTGAGGACAACCAGCATCTACTTTTCTGTCCTCTCACTAGGTCAAATAATCTCCAGGTTTAACTTCCCATGAACAAAAGTAACGCAGCCACAACACACGAGTTCGGCGGCTGTACCTGCGCGTAACCCAGGGCCCAGCCTGCAAGCGTTGCTGCTTTCAGTGCTGGGAACTGGGCCCTGTTTGGTGGCTTCCTTAGCAGCGCATAAATGCAGCGACAAGGCCAGTTTGTAGCCATCACTCCTTACCCACAACAGCTCTGTTTGCAGAGGAAATCACTTTCTTGGAGCCGGAGGGCAGCTTCACTCTGGTTTTCTTTGTCTCGGGGTTGTGAGAGATAACGGTGGCGTAGTTTCCAGAAGCACGGGCCAGCTTCCCACGGTCACCAGGTTTCTCCTCGAGGCAGCACACGATGGTGCCTTCTGGCATGGTGCCAACGGGCAGAACATTGCCAATGTTCAGCTGAGCTGCAAAGAGCAATCAGAGCACCAACAGCTTCACTCCGGCTCCTGCACCCGAACCACAACTCAGTTTAACGCAGGCAGCCCTCTGCGCGCAGGAGGGCACCGCCGCAACAGGCCGGGGCGGTTTCCTTCTCGCCGACTCGAAACACAAGCTCCACATTCGGTGTAACAGAAAAGCAGGCAGAACGGGACTCTGGACAGAACAACCCAAACACCTGACAAGAACCGCGGTGAGGGCGGTTAATCAGAACAGGCTGCGTGATGAGACTGCCACCCCCGAGAAGGAGACATGGGTGGTGCCTGAGGGCAGCAGCAGCCACTGCTCTGTGACAGCCCACTGCTGCCCTTGAACCTCCCGAGCTTCACCTGTTCTGCTGACACCTGCTTCGGCCTTCTGCAGCCGCCCAGGCCACACCGTGCTTCCGGCCTTCACTCACCTTTCTTGCCGCAGTAGACAAACTGACCGGTGTGAATGCCCTCGGCGGCGATGAACAGCTCCGTCCTCTTCTTGAACCGGTAGGGGTCACGGAAGGTGATCTTGGCCAGGGGAGCGCCTCGGCCGGGGTCATGGATGATGTCCTGTGGGAACGCGAGACGCGCTTCAGAACGGGATACAGCGTTTGCCATGGGTGCTGCAGCAAAGAACTAGAAAAACCGGAGGTGACCACTACTGGGACAACTCTTCACTGTGATCGCCCTCTCTCAGAGGAAGCTTCGTTCCTCCTGATGTGAATGAGCTGAAGATTCACGCCTGTAAGAACGCAACCTCGACGATCTGCATTGCAAAGTGGTGGCCCTGGTTAAGTGTGCCACCTGACGCTCATCGCATCTGCGCCGTTCCACTCCCTACATTTGCCAGACACCAGATCTCTCCACACTAAGAAGTTCACTTCCACTGGTTGCCCAGTCGCCTTTGGGCAGAGACAAAGCTGGACACAAGCAGGGGCTGGACTAGATGACCCACAGACGATCCTTCCAACCCCAAACATTCTGTGATTCTGAAGTGTTCCTGACCTTCTGAGACTGAGCACACCAATGTTATTAAGGCCCCTGAACAAGGAGGCACAGCCTTACTGTTTCTTTTCCTCCAGGGAAACCATGTCTGTTCTGTTCCTGAAGCGCACTGAGACCCCAGCACACGGCCCTCTACTCAGGCTACAGTGCAGCAACCAGCCCTCTCTCTCTGAGACGCGCCTGCTTTCCAGGAAAGCTCAGGCGCTGTTGGTGTCTGGTATTTGGGCTCTTTCTGCCATTTTCAACCCCAAAACTCCCCCTGCGTTACGTAAGCGTAAACCAAACCTACCTACTCCTTATCATCAAATCTAATCATGGTGAGTGTGAAGAAAAGTCCCCCTATGCCCCGCGGACGATGAGGCCGGAGCAGCAATGAGGTGCCCACAGCACACCGAGCTGCCAACGGCCAAGAAAAGGCCAAAAAACCCATGGGTGAAGTGGCCGCCTGGACGACATACAGAGTCACACAATGTTCGGGGTTGGAAGGGACCTCTGTGGGTCATCTAGTCCAACCCTCCTGCCGAAGCAGGGTCACCTACAGCAGGCTGCACAGG